GCAGGGGAAGGGATAAAAATGAAAATACTAAAATAAAACAGATTTAACTATACTTATGAGGGGAGACAGAAGACAAAGGAAGAGGAGGAGGAGGAGGAGGAGGAGGAGGAGGAAGAGATTTCCCAAATCCTAATGCTTTTAATGGAAGACATAGTGATATTTTTCCAGAAACAAAGCTAATTAAAAACGGAAAGCAAGAGCGACGGTTGCTCCAATCCTTGGCTTCTCCACCTCTCACGGCCTCCGTCCCCGGGAGGAAGTCCGTCCCGTGTACAGCACGTGCGGGTGGAGACGAGCCCGGTGCCTCTGCTCCGTCCTGTGCTGGAGGCCAGGCTAGGTGCCAGTGAGCAGGAAGGGAGCTCTGTGCGCCAGGAGCTGGGCACTGAGTTCGAATCCAGCCCGGACGTGCTAGTGCGGGCAGAGAAACTTTCTTATACCCGTGTGTTTCCTCCTGAATTGCTCCATCGACGACAACCAGGGTCCTTCCTGGAGGTGCAGCAGGGAGACAGGGTCGGAGCGGTGGAGAAGGATGTGGAGACCGAAAAAGAATTAAGTTGTGTCCCATAACACAACCCATAACAAAGGTCAGCGTTACACACTGCAAATGGTTACTAATCAAAATTAAAAGTTAAAAGACTTAAAGACATTGTCGTACAGAGATCCGCGCACACCTGGGCTCTCAGCAGCACAACTCACAACAGCGGAATCTTGGGATCAGCCTCTGTGTCCACCAGGGACGAATGGATGAAGCGTGTTTACAACCCGTGGAATACTACTCTTCCCCGAAGAAGGAGGGGCTTGAGTCACGCGGAGCAAAACGGGTGCACCTTGGTCTGCCCCGAGGTCGGGTGTGGCAGTTGCCTAAGTCTACCCCGGCTCGTGGGTTCCCGAAACAATGATAATAATGAAAACAATAACCCCCGACGGTGAGCGGGCCGCGGACAGTTCCCGAGTGGGTCCGAGAATGTGTCGCGCAGCTAGTCATAGGGAACCTGGGAGGCTGTTGTAACCGCAGAGCGTCCCGTTTTGGGGTCAGGGGAAGCGGCGTTTCCCGTCCCGCCGCCCGTCCGCTGTTCTGAGATGGGGCGCAACACTGCCGCTGCTGACCGCCTCCACCCTAGGTGCTAGAAGACACGGCGTCCAGTGCTTTTCAGTAGGGGGTGGTGGTTTGTAGATTGAAGCCAGGGGCTTTCTCACCGAGCTCCCCCTGCACCCTCTTCTTTCAAATTTTTCTGTGTTGATTGTTTGCTTGCTCCTTTTCTGAGACGGGGCCTCAGTGTGTAGCCCAGGGTGGCCTCAAAATGACCGGTATCCTCCTGCCTCAGCCTCCCGACTGCCAGCATGATGGGCGTGCACCACGACACCCGGCTGATTTTTCATCCCGATTCGGGGCCTTGTTAAGTCGCCAAGTTTCCCAGGCGGGGCTGGAACCGGCAGTCCTCCTGCCTCGGCCGTCCAGCTCTGTGGGAGGCACAGAGGGACGGTGGGGCCCCGGGGTTGCGTTTGTTGATTGCACCCCTGCCGTTTAGGGCTTGGCATCTCCAGCGCTTCCCGGAGGCGAGCTGCAACCTCTCCGGCTCCGCCGTCATCTCCTGACCGCCTGCGAGGGAGCTGCTGCCAAGGTAAGGAACCGGCAGTCCTCCTGCCTCGGCCGTCCAGCTCTGTGGGAGGCACAGAGGGACGGTGGGGCCCCGGGGTTGCGTTTGTTGATTGCACCCCTGCCGTTTAGGGCTTGGCATCTCCAGCGCTTCCCGGAGGCGAGCTGCAACCTCTCCGGCTCCGCCGTCATCTCCTGACCGCCTGCGAGGGAGCTGCTGCCAAGGTAAGGCTTGCAATCTCTGTGTTGTGTGCAAAAAACACAGCAGCCACCCACAGTGCTCTGTTGGGGCCCTCGCCGGGCAGGGAGACGCGGGGGACCCCGGGCAGCCCTGCCCAGGGTGCTGCACTGTAGTGTGCCAGACGATGTGCTCAGAAAAACCACCGTCCGCAGCCGGGTGTGGTGTACGCCTGCCAGCCCGGCTCTCTGGGAGGCTGAGGCAGGAGAGTTCTGTGATCGAGGCCAGCCTGGGCCACGTCGTGGCAACTTACTGAGACCCAGTCTCGCAATAAATAAGGAGAAAAGGGCTGGGCGTGGAGGCGAGGCAAAGGCCCTGGGTTCAAGATCCAGCATCACCAATAAACAAAACAACACACACACACACACACACACACACACACACACACGGGACCTTGTTCAAGGGTCAACCTCGGCTTGATGGAACTTTTCAGCATGTAAAAGACTCGTGTCTGGGTTGGATTCGGACTCTTCCCTGCAGAGACCCAGCTGAATTCACGGTCGACACTGAGAGTTTCCGCTCAGGACACCCGGAGGGAGGGGGCATCTCGGCCACCGTCCGGGGTCAGCGGACCTGTTCTCATGCAGTGTGTGCACGTGTGCCAAACCCCGCGAAACGTACAAAAGCGCGGGGTATTTGGGGCTGGGGATGTAGCTCAGTGGCTCCGGGCCTGCCATGCAAGCGCGAGGTGCAACTTGCAATCTCTGTGTTGTGCAAACGCCCTGGGCAGGTACAGGCAAAGCTGGGCGGGAGCACAGCCGTGGGACCCACGCCTCAGACCCTCGGCTCGGGGTGCTGTACTCGGTGTCCCTCCACAGCAAAGCTTGAAATGGCACAGCAGCCACCCACAGTGCTCTGTTGGGGCCCTCGCCGGGCAGGGAGACGCGGGGGACCCCGGGCAGCCCTGCCCAGGGTGCTGCACTGTAGTGTGCCAGACGATGTGCTCAGAAAAACCACCGTCCGCAGCCGGGTGTGGTGTACGCCTGCCAGCCCGGCTCTCTGGGAGGCTGAGGCAGGAGAGTTCTGTGATCGAGGCCAGCCTGGGCCACGTCGTGGCAACTTACTGAGACCCTGTCTCGCAATAAATAAGGAGAAAAGGGCTGGGCGTGGAGCCGAGGCAAAGGCCCTGGGTTCAAGATCCAGCATCACAAATAAACAAAACAACACACACACACACACACACACACACACACACACACACGGGAC